TTCCTATGTTTTTTGGTTAGTTCTTAAAATTTGCCTACGCCTTTTGCATTCAATGCATGTCGTTGGTAGCCCAGACGGCAATTTGTGACTTGCTGAAGCAACTCGCAGAGCGCTTAAATAAAAATAGTTTTCACATAATTTTAAGCGCAGAGAAAACCGTGCTTTTGAAATTCAGTAAGTACGTTCCTCTTTAATCGGTTCAAGACTTCAAAAAAATTCCGACCTCGTCACGAAATTTAAATGCATTTCAAAGTATTTTTGTACAGATTTTAAAACGAGGTTTGTGCTTGCCGACATAGATATTATCAAGAAAATAAACTTTTCGTGAAATAATCAGTTGGATAATAAGCCAATGAGTACGTGTTCTCGTTGCTTTTGTTAAGGCCATTCGAGTACCCACGTAACGATGATACTTTCTCTTTTTCAAGAGTCTGAATCAAATTCTTCACCCCAACTTGAGCAAGTGCTAAGATCTAAGCAACAATGATTTATCTAAAATAAAAATAGGATTACGGAACGAAGCGGAATTCTTGTTAAGGACCCATAATCGAAAAAGAATCACTGAATAAAAACACTTGGTCCCACGGTGTTACCCAAACATTGACTGACCTCAATAAAACATTTTTTAATCAGAGGGTATACTACTGTTCACCTCATGTCTATTCCTTGCTTTAGCGAAATTCCCACTGCCGATTCTAAAAGCAAGTTTCATCAGTATCATCTTGCTCTGTATTGTAGTTTCCCGACCGTTCAGATCCCTCAGGTAATTTCGTCACTCCTTCGTGCTCTGTATTGTAGTTTCCCGACTGTTCAGATCCCTCAGGTAATTTCGTCACTCCTTCGTGAGAACCATGCTTCCCTTCAACAATTTCCAAAAGAACATCTTCATCCTGGAAAGTGTTGCAGCTACCAGGAAGGGAACATTTCAAATGGTTGATTTCCTCTTTGGCCTCTTCTTGTGGCTGTAGAGTATTGGCACAGATGACGAAGTTTCCTTCACTGGAAAGCGAAGAGGACGACAAAGATCCACGAGGTCCCAGACAACCATCATCGCTGATTATGACCAAAGCACAAGATCTTTTCTCCAGGATCTCTCCTATTCCATCTTCCAGTTCCTCCATGATTGGATCGTTTCGATTTTCACTGTCGATACTTTGCTGGTCAAGACATTCTTGTGTGGGATTTGGTGACTGCCTATGTTCTTGAGTTATCTTCATCGACTTTCCACGATCGTCATTTTCATCGTAGAGAGAGTGTCGGTCGTCATTTACGGAACACTTTGATTGCGCATATTTGTCTGTACTTCCCTCCAAAAGTCTTCGACTGAAAGACTTAAGTGGGTGAATATCGACATAGGTGATGATATTTTCTGCGCCAGTGGACGAACCTGACGAAGATGTAACTTGCAGTGCTTCACGAGGTCTCTGGCACCTCGTTTCATCAGCCATAGTCGAGCCACAGGATCCTGACTTAACCTGGGGGTCCTCTTCTCGTTTTGCTTCTTCCTCCTCTTGAAGATCATCCATATTTTCATGACCCATGCGTCGCCTGCTGTGACGACTCTGCTTGGGAGTGGGTGGCTCCCTCTGGTCTTCCCTATATCTCTTCACCATCTTCACCACCTCGCCTCTGAATTGGCGGTTGAGTACGAAGCAATACAGGAGTGGATTCAAAAGAGAGTTCAGCTGAGTCAGCAATTCCGTCCAACGGAAAACCGTGCTTGTTCGTAAGAAGGGCACTTTCCTGCCTCCAATAATGACGACAGTGGATGGAAGGTAAGAGAAAAGCAAAACAAGAATTAATGTTGCTGCAGTTATGGCTATGCGCTTTTCCATCTTTAGTTTAGCCCGTACCGCATCTCCACGGATGTCAGTTAGTTTTCGTTGGCGCATACCAACGTAAACCATTAAGTAGAAATAGCCGATCAGAACTATGGCGAACATGATGGGAATGGAAACGATCATGTCCACGAATTGCACGTACTTGTAGTTCACACCAGACGCGATTAATACACGCACCAGTACGGTTTTCAGAAGGCAGAGCACCCAAGAAATTGCCAAACACCAGGTGACGCGCTTGGTGGTGACGATCACTTTATAATCCTTCCATTTTCTTATCGCCACATACCTTTCCCATGCAATCACAGTCAAATGGTACAAAGAACAACAAGCAGAAATGTACAGCACCATTTGATTTGCAAGCGCTATACGGCAAAGAAACAAGCCGATCTTCCTCTGGAGAAGGAACGCATCTAGAGCGATCGATAAAGGAAATGAGATAAACCCAACCAAAAGGTCTGCCACCGCTAAACTGGACAACAAAATATTCGAATGATTCTGCAATGTTTTTCTAGTCTTCACTGCATAGATCACAAGAATGTTTAAGAGAATGGTGAATGGGCAAGCAATAGCGGAGATTACGATCGAGCCTGAAAATGTAGCCGCGTCAGTTAAAATCCAAGTAAATATTGGTTCGACTGGGCAGAAATACTCCGTGGGCACCAGGCGTGCGGAATTGGCGGTAAGGGATGTATTTTCATTGATCATCATGGTGCAAAGAGGTAAAAAAAGGTTGAAATAATGATATAACCAACTCACAGAAAGGTAGTTTGTTCAAATGTAATTGTCGTTCTCTGCTTTGCTTTCAACATCATAACCGAGCACAGGGTAGGTCTTCAACCAGTCCGTGTCTGGAGCCGTCGAAGCCAAGTTCATTTAAGCGAGTTCCTCCTACCTTCTTAAACTACTCTTTATTTTTTATCACTTTCTACGCGTGGGATTAATTTCCTCGATCCGAACACTGACAAAGGTCAATGATGTATCGCGAGAAAGAACGACTGACAAACAAAGTTCCCTTTAAAAAGTGTTGAAGAAAGAGGATATGGGTACAGTCTCTTTCCTAGACACTCGTTTAAGAGATCAGCACAACTGAAATATCCTACCTACAGTAATATCAAATGTAACACTTGGAAATCTAAAAGGGAGTATTTTCAGAGGACCGAAACTATTTCCGCGAGTTGAAGATGCGATGGAACCAAAGCGACTGAGACATCCTACCAATTAACGCCTGAATTTTGAATACATAACTCTATTTCCGTTCTATTGCAGAATTAATTTCAACGTCGTTTTAGTGAATTTCGTAGCTTTGAATTGAACTATTGTACTTCGATAGATTGAGGTACGCTATTTATCACCCTGACCCTCAGTGACCTTTAACGTAACTTTTGGTTCCACATATAAAGCTTCCAATGCCACTCGTGCGCAACGTCCTACCAATCCCTCAAATAGCAACTACACTCACGTTTGATACCTTCATTTTCTTTTTCCGTTCACATAAAATGCATACTAGAAACAATAAATTTAATTCGCACATTGTCATGATGATGAGAATCTCATGGTAACATCTACGGCACACATCATGCAACGGAAAGCAAGCATAACCCCACGGTACTTTCTTAAATTATTTTTCTCTAAAGTAAAGCTAATATTTTTAAAGTAATAAAGTTTTTTTATCATCACAGTAATATTAATCTTTTCGGGGCTTTTTCTACGAGAATTCAGTCTGAAAGACGACCAAACCAGATTTGGGGTGAACAGGTGATGAGTAAAGTGCTTTGTTTACAGTGATTTATAAATAATGTGAGAAATTTTCGAAGGGTTTTAGCATGGACGGATAAAGGCCTTAATTGTGGTTGCCTATTTTTCATAATTTCGTTGAATAGTTTTTTTGAATGGCGTTCCGCAGATACACGCTCAAGTTTTCACTTTTTCTTTCCCTAGCTGTATTCCACGTTCCATTGGCAGTATGGTGCGCAACAGATCAGAATCAAAGTGGGATATTTTATACATTGATGACAAAAATTCATGTCAAACACCTTGTCATATAAGTTACCACATAATTGGTTGGTGAAAAGGTGATGAGTAAAGTGTTTTGTTTACAGTTATTTATAAATAGTGTGAGAAAGTTCTTTAGAGTTTTAGCATGGGCGGAAAAAGGCCTTCATCGTAGTTGCCTATTTTTCATAATTTCGTTGAACAGTTTTTTTTAATGGCGTCCCGCAGATCCACGCTCAAGTTTTCACTTTTGCTTTCCTTATTTATATTCCACCCTCCATTGGCAGCATGGTGCTCGACAGATCAGAATCAAAGTGGAAATTTCATACATTGATGATAAAAATTCACGTCAAACACCTTGTCAAATAATTTACCACATAATTGGTTGTGACAAGCGCAGATGTTGTGCTAAATTGTTCAATTCAATTCCCTTGGCCAAGTTTTTTCAGATCGCCTAGAAAAGTTGGTCGAAAAAGAGAAAACCTTCCCTTGATTCATTAATGAAAACTTCCAAGGAATTTTAAATGTCAAAACCTGAAATCGACTATCATTTGGGACAAACCAAGGAAACCGTCAGATTTAGACGGAGAGGAAGTTGAGGAAACGAGGAGAGAAAATCAAGTCATATTTTGACGATAAAAGGGAAGGAAATTACAAAACGTTTTGGTAATCATTAGATCTAAAATTGCATTGGTAAAAGATAACGATAGGATTCGTGCAGTAAACGGAACATGCTCTATATTCCGATTTGATTTAAATTTCAATGCTGACTCACTCGACTTTTCGCTCTTTTCGCGAACTGCACGCTTGCTGCGAGTTTTGATTGGCTCATTGCGCTTTGTGATTTGGATTGGACCATCGTGACCACGTGACCTGCGCTGTGTGATCGGCCACAAGTGAAGTTAGGTTAACAGAACATCTTAAAGCCACCCCGGCTGAACTTCGCCCTCGGATCACACACAAGTTAGATCGCCAACTTCTTAAAAATGCAACTAATTAATAAGAATCACCCAAAGAAGCTAGAACAAACTAAATACGTTACCAAGAAGAGGAGAAAAATCGTTTGTGTCTCTGGCATTGATGTTTATTCCTGGTTGTAAAAGAAGAAATTTAACCACATCCAAATGACCCTCAGCTGCACTGACATGACTTTAGAAAAAGAGAAAATCAACTTTAACGATGCATGAATATGTAACTATCGCATAACACAACCTACCGAACATAATTGGATGTTTATACCTTCGATATGGGTGTACAGCTGTTTAGAGTCAATCTCCAAACTTGCCATATACATAGTTACACTAAATAAGAACAGATTTACAGTCAAAGATTTTCAGTCACAGATTTTTAGCCACAGAATCTCAAGTCTTTCTTCCCCAAAAGTAAATTGCTTTTTGATGATTTTTTTCCCAACAAGTTACTTCCAGCTCACCCAATCAAGCTGAATTGCACATGCGCAAGTGATAGCGATCATGCTTGCCGATGATGGTCGCTTGATCTTACGTTGCGGGCTTCACATCGACAGTTACATTAAACTTAGGTTGGGGCTGAATTACAGACACATTTTGCTATAACGAGGAATTTGTCCGAAAATATTTGCTGTATTGAAGTTTACGCAGTACTACGGTAAGGGGGGAGGTAGGGAAAGGGAAGTAAGGACCTTACAATTTCCTCTTATGGCCATTAAAACAACTGTAGGACCCCTCCCCTCCATGTAAAAGCGTACTCCCGGTCCTGATGGATTCTCCGCGAGTATTATTTTGTGCCTTCCCCAAATCACTTCATTTGGCCTAATATACTTTATATTTAACACTCTTTTGTGTCTTTTCATGGAAGTTTAGTGATCAGGACTTTTTGTGCTGTCTATCATACAGAGAATGAATGTCATGGATGTAGAAGCCACAACAGCCTTAACAGCATGAGATCAAATTAACATCCGTATCACTGAAAAACTTACAGCGGCGTCCGTTTGTTGAAGTCCCTGTAACACACCGTAGCACCATTATGAACCATGTGCCTCAACATCTGCAGGTTGCCTGTGCTCGCCACTTCACAGACTTCGTGCATACTGTAATGATGTGACAATCGCCTGGCGCCCAAACCCTCTAGTAACTGGCTAACTGCGCGGTGCTCGTGCATATTGGAATACTGGAATATGAGAGCGAAAAAAAAAATGTCTTCGTTTCCACAAAAACTTCATTCTTACTATCATGTAAAAATATGTTAGCTCGTCTGACAGCACTGAAGAATCTGCTTGGGATCCCACAGACTCCTTGGTGTGAAAGGTAAAACCAGAGATCTACTGCGCTACGTTGCAATATTGAGAGATGTTTGCAAAAATAAGGATTGCCTTCAGAGATAACATTAAAACACAAGAGGGGAAAGAATATCCCAGAGAGGAATAATGACGTTTAAAAATGTGGACAATTGGCAAAGGTTTCAAAAGACAACCCTGAAAAATCTCAATACTTTACGTGTAACAAAACAGTTATTTGGAGTGGTAGGGGTAAACCCCTCTCACTAAAACCTAACCCCCATTCCACCCAGTCCCCTACTTCAATTCGCCTGAGCGTATCCCCCCCAAAGACGGCAAAAGAAGTAGCGCCTGAGCGCGTGCGCATTCAAGCCAGCTTATCTTTCTTCTACTCCACACTTATGGATAATGTCAGAGAGGAACAATCCGCGATCGTTCCTGTCATTTTTGTTAGGGGGCAATAAATAAGGGTAATCACTGAGACAGATCGCTCACATTCAAAGGCGTATTTCCAAGCGAGTCAACCGCGTTGATATCAGCTTTGTTATCAGTGAGGTACTGTACTACTCCTCGACTCCCAACGGCAGCTGCAACATGAAGAGCAGTGCTACCCTCTTCATTTGGCGCATTCACATCCACGCCAAGAGACACAAGGCGTTGAAGCTCCTCCACATCGTTTTTCACTTAAAATTAAAGAGGAAAAATTGACGCACTTTGAGCAATTTAATGGTTACATACAACTCTTTGTCTTGCATTTAAGTCCCCTAGTCTTTTTATGTCAGAATAGAATTGTGGTCTCTGAGGGTCTACAAGAATCATTTCATGACATGCGATTTGGCAAAGGTAATCTGCTTACAGCAGCTTCCTTCAACCTTCTCCTGTGTCGGCTCCGGAAAAGGCCTGATGCCAAATAACTCTTCATGTAAGAACAAACCATACCTATAGCGCTGCAGAGCAAGTCCCCGACTCCATCTTCACACCATCCCGCTCCGTGACGTAACAGACACTGCACCACCTGATCATGACCGAATTGTACAGCTTCTGTAGAA